AGTGTGTGTGTGTGTGTGTGTGTGTGTGTGTGTGTGTGTGTGTGTGTGTGTGTGTGTGTGCGTGTGTACAAATTTGTATGATCTATGGGATTTTATACTTAGTAATGGAACATTTCGCGTGCAATCAGCAAGATGGAATAAACTTGCATGGGCGTCGCTGTGGTCGGATTTACTCGCTTCACGTAATATTTAACAGTACCTAACGCGTCGCACTATAACTTCCACGAGCGCAAGCGAAGAAAATGCTTCGCCAGAGAAATATACAAGATGTCCCGGCGCTTTATAGCGGCGCCAACCTCTCTCAATCCGCGTGTTCGCTTTGATCGATCCTAAATCGATTTTTCCGCGTGGCGACGAAACGATACCGGCAGAAAAGGGAGAGAAAAAGAGAGAGACAGACACACCTCGTGTATGTGTGTGTGTGTCTCTTGTCGGGTTCTCGCCCCAATATCCGATTATCGAGCGCGAATCTGCGGCTCGAGAAAAAATCTGAAAAAATAGAGAGAAAAGAGGGGGAAAAAGCGTTCATATCGTAGTGAAATATAGAAAGATGCCGGTCACATTACAATCTGCGAACTGCCGTGAACTTTCAACAGCTCGCGAACTGCACGGAGTGAGCCCCCCTGCCCCCCCCCCTCCTACCGTCGAAGTTAACTTCGCGAACTCACTGCACAGAAAATGTTTTTCGCGATCGAAGCGCTGAGGCTTTTACGGTATGCACAGCGCGTTGCAGCAGACGCAGCACACATACACCGGGAACGCAACTAGTGCGGACCCTTACGCGCGCGTGAAGGCCAGTTAAACGCATTAAAAGATTGACGGCTGCTTTAACAGGGCGAAATTAGCCTCTGCCGACTGCGTCGTTCGCGGGTACGGACGCGCGCGCGAAGGTCATTTTACAAACTATACGAAATATTTATGATCCTCGCGGGACCATTTGCCCGTGTTAATTGTATTGCGAGATGTTAGACACGCGGGGCGAACGCATCCGACTATCTCCGGGCGATAAAATTTGACTCGAAAATTGCGACGGCGATGAGGAGGAGAGAGAGAAAAGCGCGGGTCTCGAAAAAGAACCTGCCTAGACAGATCCGTGATGTTAGTGAAATAAATGAAAATTCATAATTCATTAATTGCGGATCGCGAGAGGGAAGTAGCGGCAAATCAAACGTGAAGCCGCCTCTTTTGCGCTTCAAGAGTTACCGCTGAAAGCACCAAAAGAAAAACGAAGATCCGCAATTATAATCGACGGGAGAGACGAGATGAAGGAACGGTCTGAAACTTTCGTAGTATTTTCTGCTTCCTCGAATCGTCCGGCTTTTTAATGTAGTCTTTCTCTACTTAGCGAACGGCAAATTGAGATACACTTGCTTCTTTTGATAATTAAAGCACCA